AATGGACATGGACGGGCAGCTGCCCTCATATCCTGGCTCCTGATGTCAGGGTCAGTGCCCAGGAGGGCTATGGCTGGGTCTAGGGAGGCTCTGTCTTTCAAAAAATATGTAATGGTCACATATGGAGAACTTATGTCACCCCCCCACACACAGACACACACAGACACAGACACAGACACACTGAGGGGGTTCGTGCATCTGGGCTGATTCTATACCTTAAGCTGGTGACTAAAGCATCCTGGTTTGTAATCTTCTGGATAAATTCCCAGGAGTGGAATTGCTGCACTACAGGATCTTTTTTTTTGGGGGGGGTCCGGTCGTGGGGCCTGAACTCTGGGCCTGGGCGCTGTCCCTCAGCTCTTCAGCTCAAGGCTAGCGCTCTACCACTTGAGCCACAGTGCCGCTTCCGGCTTTTTTCTTTTTTGCTTATGTGGTGCTGAGGAATTGAACCCAGGGCCTCAAGCATGCAAGGCAAGCGCTCTACCACTGAGCCACCTTCCCAGCCCTGGACTACAGGATCTTTAATGTTCAACTTTCTTTAATATCTACAATGTTATTGAAAAGCTCATATACAGAGGGGTTTCAGTTACCAAAGTCAGGTGATGAGGACATTTCCATTTGAACAGTGTCACACATTCCCTCATTTCCACAGTTTTTCTCCTCCTGACTCTCTTTCCTTCCCCCACAAAGTGGAGATTAGCTTGCTTCTTGCACACATCTGTGTCCACATGGACACAGAACGGATGCTTCCTGAACAAGTGAATACTTTGTCTGATTATCCACAAAAACTGTCCAGAGAAAACCTCAAAACTAGGAAGTCTTCTTCCTAAAGCCTTTTAGAGTTCACACATATGTTCTTGTTCAGGAAGTGAAGCTTGCTCTTTTCTGACCAGGACGTAATGGAGAAATAAACAAGGACCTGTTTGAGCAGGTGAGGGGGCGTCCGGGATGCAGGGAGCTCAGTCAGATTGCTGTGAGATCACCTGGGCTCAGCCCCTCATGCCCACGATGCACTTGTGCGATGGACCAGCTCGGCCAGAGCACTGGGACCGACGGGACAGGGATCTCGGGATAGGTGGGCAAGGAGTCCGCAAAGTGACAGCCACAGACTCAAAAGAGCTGCATCTGAGTGTATCTTCATTGAGGAGAATTAACTGTTTTTATACAGTGTGTGATTGTGACATAGATTCTTTGTTTATTTAAGCATGTAATCAATTTTTAAGAAAACCAAAGCTTTGATGGGTTATATGGAAACTGATGACTATCCCACCAACTGAGCTAAGTGGTGTGAGACAAGTCTAGCATATTGTTTAATAGAATGTGTCATCTATTCAGCCTTTTTACATTTAATAATTAACAAACCTAAGACACGGCTGTACTTATACTGTACTCTTTTTATTTTTTCCATATATTTTCAAGTCCCTTTGAAACCATCCTAAAAGCCAATTCCAGGTTGAGTCAGGCATTCTTCATTTTCTATAATTTTAATCCCAATATTTGTTCACATAAATTTCTAATTGTTATTTTAAACTATCTTGTTGTTGTTTCAATAATAAACACCATAAAGGCCTAGAGCTGCCTAATCTTAGCATAAAATCTAACGAGTACCAAATACTCTTTTTCCTTTTACATTAATCCATCTATTTTCATCTCTATAAGCTCCTGTATAAGGCAATGGTTCATCGGTCAGTTCTGGAAATGTGATGTCACTAACTTTATACTTTGTGGGAAACCACCATTTATTCCCTATAACATAAGCTGGACTACACTTAATCATAACTGTTGGGGGAATCTTTCTTTTCCTTTTATTATCAGGGGTCCCTTTTTCTAGAACTCTCTGTGCTTCTGGGATAACTCCTTCTGGTTAGTTTAATTCATTAATTCTGCCTGTTGTAACATATCTGGAAATTTTAAATTTCTATATTTACTATGAATGAGCCACAAAACTGCGTGTGAAGTGGCAGGAGTTTCTGGAGGCAGCGTCACATCAGATGATAGATTGATTGAAGCATTGCCCACATCTAATCTTCTGTCCTATTCTTTATTATTCAGAGAAGCTGTCTCTATTGGACTGGAAAGATACAACATGCTCTGTTCACGGATCAATAGAAAAATAGCCAAAATGAGATGAAAGGCAACCAATGTACAGCCAAGAAGAATATAGTAAGAATAAAGGTAGAGGCAATAAAGGTGCAGCCAAGTGTATGGGAAGCCTTGAACCAACACCCCCTTCCTGCAGGCATGCTTCCTTGAAGCTTATGCTTTGCCTGGCCCGATCTCTCATACAGACCCCACAGGAGGTGGTGTGGCACACTTGCACAGTCTCAGTGCTCATGACAGAGCCACAGGGACCCGGCCTCCAACCCAGACGGGACATCCACAGGATTCCAGAGCCATCGTGATGGAGGAAACCCCAGGACAGACGGGGCCCAGCAAGGTCAGTCTACATGCACATGGCCTGTTGTCTGCCCAGTCCAACCCAGACTCCTCATGTCCACTTCCATGTCTCCATGGAGGACAGCAAAAGGCCCTGGTCAGGGGACACTGAGGAGTCCACCAACTTTTCCCAGGGTGCCATGGGCTGAGCTCCAGGGGTATGGCCAACCCCTGTGTTTTATGATTTGAGTCCCCAAGTACATTTGGTGTCTGGACAAAGAGAAAAGGAGGCTGTGATACCAAGAATCACTGAGTCAGAAAGTGAATGAATGGAGTAATTCTGTTAGGTCAGTTCTGAACCCCTGAGCAGTGCTACAGGTGGAGGGAGGAGGGCAGGATTTGAGGCCTGTTAAGATTCCTGACTTAGTGAGCTGTGCTGTTTTTGTCTCTGTATCTGTCTCTGTATCTGTCTCTGTGTCTGTTACTGTCTGTCTCTCCTATATTGAACTCAGGGCCTCTTTTGTGAGGCTCAAACCTGCCAATTTAACCATGTTTCAACTTTTCAAATCTTACTTATTTTTCTGGTACTGTGCTGTGGTTTTTCCTGGGGCAGGTTCCAGACAGTGATTCCACACTTGCCTCCTGTGTAGCTGGAATCACAGGAAACAGCGGCCACATTAAGCTTATTGATTGAGATGAGGTCCTCAAAATCATATTTCTCTCCTCCTCCCAAGTCTCTAGGATTACAGACACCAGGCACCATGACAGGCGGTTTCCCTCTTGTTCACAGAACAAATTCTGACTCTGTGAATCCTGGGATCTTTGTCCTGAGTCTCATGGGGTCACCAGGGTCCCTGAGTTTCTTCAGGATCAAATACTGGTCACCACTGCAGAGCCATTTTTGCTTCCACCGTGATACTCTGTTCATTCTTAAAGTCCCAGCAAAGGACTGGAGACATCCCAGAGGAGTGCAGGTCATGAACACAGGAGAGATGCTGTCACACTGTGGACACAGAGGCAGGGCAGACAGCAGGAGAGCAGCTCTGGGCTCTGTGTGCAGCTGCTCCTGAGGTGGCCCGGCTCCAAGCTGTGCCGAGCGCCCCCTGCTGGTGCTGAGTGCCCTGCAGGGAGGTTTGTGTCTGGCCCACACTGGATTTCCTGCACTGTGTCTGTAGCACAGTAATAGACAGCCGTGTCCTCCACTCTCAGGCTG